GGCTGGGCTGAATGTTGCCCGAACGATCACCTCCTGACTAACTAAACCTTCCATCGCTGCTCTCAGCAGCCGGAGACAAACTCAAACGCACGCCTAACACACAACGGTCACCTACTGGCGAGCTAATATCTTTCAATTGAAGTCGAGAATCGCCGGAATTCTTACTGGACGCTGAGCTGAGGACGCTTTTCGACATCGAACATCACCACGGCTCGTCGGCGCGCTCGTCACCTACGGGTGGTGAACGACTTTGCGGAGAGGGGCGTCGCCCTCATCAGCGCGTTCTGCGGCGCCATCACGCGCGACGAGGAACAGCGACAGCACCTTCTGCAGGTCGTGGAGCGACACCGGGCGTTGCACCCGTGCGCGAAGTAGGCATGGGATGGCACGCACGGGCGGATTTCGTTTTTTTTGCGGTCTAACAGTGTCACTAGTGTTGATGGACATTATAGACAGATGAACAGATAGACAGATGGACCAGTTAACATGGACCAACAATCTCACCAGTGTTGAAGGATAACCACGGTTGCCTTTTTTGCAATACATGCGTTCCTGTCTTCCGTCTTTGAATTATTGCAAGTGCGAACTGAGCAAAACAAAATCCTTACTGTACGGGAGAAACCGTACTACCATTCAGCCCCGTAACATTCTTTCCATAGGGGAAACTTTGGTCGCTCTGCGGGACGGGATAAAATTATCCGATCGGAATAAAATTTTGCACACATCCTTGTGTCATAGTATCGACAAGATTTCCGACCCGGCCCGACGAATCCGACAAACTTTTCCAAAATGGACCACCCTAATATATATATAGCTTTGCTCAAATGTGCTGTTTTACCTGGCAAAATCGCTACATTGCTTTTGACATCACTTTATCTCATACCCCAAAATATATGGGGAGAGTTTGATCTAAATTCTCCTTAAATGTTTCTCGAGAGGATTCGAGTTTCCTGCTCATCACACATTTAATTATTGCAGTCTGTTGATGATAGAAAAATGAAAAACGTTTCTCATGAAGTGAAAATGTGTCTTTTTTTGTCTTCTGTATCTTTAATCGAGCAAAACAAACCAAAAAAGTTATCTACAAACCCAATTATTCGATTTAAATTTTCAGTGGGTTATTTGAATATGAAAATATACAGCCCGTGTGTGTGTGTGTGTGTGTGTGTGTCTGTGTGTGTGTGTGTGTGTGTG